TCCAGGGGATCTGTTTTTCGCTGCTCTGAGCTGATGCAGAGGAGGCCATGGCCGGACACCTCAGGGGATCGGGGCGATCGGGGAGGCCAGGTGTGGCCACTGCCATGCTTGTCCTCCCCCCAGGTGTGGTCTTGGCTAGCATCTCGTCAGGTCTGGGGGAAGTCACCTTCCTCGCGCTCACTGCCTTCTACCCCAGGTAAGCAGGCAGAGCCGGGAGCGGGGAAGAGGACCCCCCTGGTGCTGGCTTTGGTCCTTCCTCATTTCTTGTGTTCTTCTCAGGGCTGTGATCTCCTGGTGGTCCTCAGGAACCGGGGGAGCAGGGCTGTTGGGAGCATTGTCCTATCTGGGGCTCACCCAGGCTGGCCTCTCCCCGCAGCACACCCTGCTGTCCATGCTGGGTATCCCCGCCCTGCTGCTGGTCAGGTAGGCTGCCGGGGCTGGGAGGATGAGGGATTCGAGGAGAGAACTAGATCATGCTCCCGATCTTCAGGTCCCAGCAGCCTTGTTAAGAGGGGATGTGGGTTCTGGACTCAGAGAGGCCTGGTTTGGGTTTTGGAGCTGCTACCTGTTGGCCGCATACCGTGGGACACCTTTAAATGATGTGTGTGAAGCATCTGGTAGTGTGGATCCCGAGGTGATAGAAGGGGACGGGGGTGGACTTTCTTTGATTAATTTTGAGGGTATTGGAAAAAAATGTTAACTAGCCAATCAAACCTGTGATTTCACAGATTATTGCTTAGGGCAAGGCCATGTAGAGAAAGTGAATCGATTTAAAGGAAAATAATAAGCAAACAATTTATATAGGAGGAGTGTAGACATGGCTGAGTATAGACCTGGTCTCTATAGAAGAGACTGAAAGTTCTGGCCCAGCACAGGATGAACACGTAATAATCATTAGAATAACAATGACAAGGGGCGCCTGGGTGGCTCAGTCGTTAAGCGTCTGCCTTCGGCTCAGGTCATGATCCCAGGGTCCTGGGATCCAGCCCTGCATCGGGCTCGCTGCTCTGTGGGGAGCCTGCTTCTCCCTCTCCCACTCCCCCTGCTTGTGTTCCCCCTCTCACTGTGTCTCTCTCTGTCAAAGAAAGAAATAAAATCTTTTTAAAAAAAAAAATAACAACGATAAGAAAACAGAGCTGACTTGCTTGGTGTGAGCCAGAAATCCAAACAAGGGTCCATGGGTAGAAACAACAAGGAGACAAATTTCAACTCTAAGGAAGGAAGCACCTTTCCTCAGTTAGAGCTCTCCGGCACAGGATCGGGGGGCCTGCGAGGAGTGTGGAAATGAGGGGGAGCTGCCCTGGGAGGGAGCGGCCTCTCCAGCCCGACAGAGGCGCTTCGGTCTCATCTTCATCCCACCTGTTCCTAGCTATTTCTTTTTGCTCACATCTCCCGAGCCCCAGGACCCTGGAGGGGAGGAAGAGGCAGAGACATCAGCACGACAGCCCCTGATTGGCAGTGGGGCCCCAGAGTCGAAGCCAGGTAGGAAACCCAGGAGTCCCTTGGAGCCGTCACTCTCTCTCTGGACGGGTGTTAGCCTTTCCTCTCTATGGTGGACACAGTCCGGAGGGGAGGTGGATGGCAGTGCTGGTTATGGTAAGAACCAGCGGCATTCATCTATTTAAGAACTACACACTGGGGCGCCTGGGTGGCTCAGTCAGTTAAGCGTCCGGCTCTTGATTGCATCTCAGGTCACCATCTCAGGGTCGTGGGATCGAGCCCCACGGTGGGCTCCACGCTAAGTGTGGAGTCTGCTTGAGATTCTCTGTCTCCCTCTCCCTCGGCCCCTCCCCCCAGTCACGTTCTCTCGCTTTCTCTCTCAAATAAATAAATCTTAAAAAAAAAGAAAGAAGTGCTCAGTGAGTATTTACCATGTGCTGATGATCACTGTGGGTACCGGGTGGCCGAGACAAGGAAAGGGGGCAGATTCATAAACAAGCAGCTGAATCGGAAACATGTTATTTTCGAGCCTTGGTAAGTGCTGGCCGGACATAAAGCGGGGATTGCTGCTAGGAACTGAGGGAAATAGAGAAGGGTCCCACCTAGAGGAGGTGGTCTGTGAAGGCCTTTTTGAGGAGGGGTCATTGGACTGAACTTTGAGTGACAGGGAGTCAGGTTGCAGGCCGAGTGGACAGCAAGTGCTAAGAGCCTGCGATGGGAAGGAGCTTGGATGTTCAAGAAGCAGAAGGAAGGGGCCAGTGTTGGAGATGTGTAGCTATCAAACTGTACAAGAGCCATGGAGAGATCCCACCAGTTAATTCCTTTTTATTTTTAATTGAGGTAATATATATCTAACATGAAGTTTACCAATTTAACCATTTTTTTTAAGAGGCAGAGGGAGAGAGAAAATCTTTTTTTTTTTTTTT